GACGCGGAAACCTCCTCCACCAACGGGGGCGACCCGCGGTACCGAAAGCGCATTTGTTTATAAAGTACGGAAACAAGAAATGACCCGTTGACATACCCGCCACCAAGCGGTGGAAAAGGCGGTGCATACTAGAAAGGAGTAGTGGGATCAGGCGCCGACACGGAACGGTCCTGGATGTACGCAGCGGCGCTGCGGTCGTAACGACTGAAGGATCCGACCGGCTCCGAGCGTTCCGAAGGCCTTTGGCGAGCAGCTTTGTCTTGCAGTTCGGCCGTTTCACGGTATGGCAGCGCGAAGTGGCTCCCATTCTGAACTAATCTTTACCCCGTGTTTGATGTCGTTTGTGGCCAATGAAGTGTCATGCCGAAATAGTGTTTAAACTCGCAGCAAATGCAATGAGAGCCGCTCTGGTTGCCCGCAGCATACAGCCTATCCAGAACATGCTTTGGTGGCACCCTCTCGCGCCGTCGACACGAAGTGCGGCAGCCGTGAGCGCTTGCTTAGCTCACTGCCCCTCCTCTAGTTCACGGTCGCTCAAGCAACCAAGGACGTCATGAAGGAGGTTATTTTTTGCTTGTTTTTGTCATTTTAATTTGCCTATGACTTTTAAAATAAAGCGAAGTTCGAGAAAAGAAAAGTTTCGTTAAGTTACTACGTTCAGTGCGCTCAGGTTCAGTCCGAATTAAAACCAGTAAAAAAAGTCCTTGCAGGGCCCCTTTAACCTTTCATCATCTGATTTTGGCAACGACGATGATGTGGCTTTATCAGAAAGATAAAGAAAATTGGGTTCTCACTGGTGAGCACCGCCCTAGGGCTCAATGTCTCTATGCCATCTGATTTCCCCCAAGCCGGAAAAAATCCCAAAGTTTTTGATTTTTTTCAGAAAAAAATTAACCTTAAAAATATATTTTAAAATCTCCATATAGCATTAACCTAATTTTTATTTCTTTCGGTGGGAAAGTTTATTTCCTATATTTCGATGTGTCAGTATGTTATATACCTATAAGCTGTAAAAATCACAAAGTCAGGACCCAGATTTTGGGACCATATCCCGACATGATTTGCGTGTCTGCTGCATAATTAGCTCTTGAGGCCTAGGTCACACAGCTGACATCACAGAAAATGCAATCTGCAGGCACGAGTCATGTGGCTCATGCTTCCTCCTGCCAAGTTCTAAGTTAGAACTGATTACTTCAGCTTAGCACGTGGTATATACGAGGTATGGACAGCGCGGTGACTCGCGTCTGAAGGCTGTGTTGCTTAAAGAGACAATGAGAATGATTAAAAAGAACAAATCTAGAGTGTTTTCGGACGTTTTGTGAGTCCTGGCATGCTGCTGAATTTGTATACAATTTTGTGACACCCATTTGCATGCCTACGAATGAACTGACAATACCGAAACTAACTGTCCAAGTGATGTCATGTGGGAATATCCGTTCTCACAGGATGTCAAGTTCCTACACTATGCTAGACGAGGAACTAGGTCGCGCGAAACTCGTTTGTTTCGTGCATTCAGGGCAGCGCTGACATAACTCCCGGTACGATTATTCTCTAAACAGTTTCCTTTGTGCGACATGGAGGTGTCGGTTTGGTCTGAAACTTGGTTAGCATTGCCTGGATCATGCCTGAGGCCAATTTCAATCATCAAACTAGATTCTAAAATGAAGACGATTTAAAACAGTTTGACGATTGAAATAGGCCTCAGGCATGATCCTGGCATTGTCGACCATTTTCTGGCCTGAACTGACGCCCAAGTGTCGCACAAAATGAACAGTTTTGAGAAAAATTCTATCGGAAGCGATGCCAGCACCGCCCCAAGTGCACGGAACGAACGAGGTTCGCGTGACCTCGTAGCTTCTCACCTAGCATGACGTAGAAGCATGACATCATGTAACACTGACTACTCTCACGTGACGTCACTCAGACGCGGTTAGTTTCGCATTGTCAATTTATTTGCCAGAGCAAAATGAGCGTCACAAAGTTCTATTTAAAACTGAGCAGCATGCCAGGACCCCAAGAAGTTAAGAAACACTTAGAAATACATTTAAAATCATCCTTATTAGTGATGGGACAAACATTTTACCGAATCGCGATTCGAACCCGAATCTGAAAATTCGGCAGATTCGGATAATTGACCGAATCTTCTAGGAATTCGGACGGCTCGGACAGATTCGGAATGATGCGAGACCACACCAAATTGTTCGGAAGAAGAGATGAATACTTTGCTTACGCTTGGGCGAAGAGCATGTTGGTTCAAGTGATGGATGAAGAAAGAACAAAACAATTAAAACTGGGACAACACAACCACACCTTTCAACTAGCAACAGAAGAGTAAAATTACCCCATCGAGCAGCCGACTATACCCAGGAGGGAAAGGGGGGAAGGGGAGATAAAACCGAGGAATTGCAAGTCAGAGGTGGGTTTATCTCGGATTTTAGAAATTCAACCTCTGTTTCCCCTGTTTGCTGTGGTCACGGCGAATGACTCTATGATCTCGCTGCCCACCCCCCTCTGACTTGCAATTCACGTTTTTTATCTCCCCTTTTCCCCCTTCTCCCCCCTTTTCCTCCTTGGTATAGTCGGCTGCTCGCAGGAGTGAATTAAATATGTACTCACACAATCCGAATTCCAGACCACAATATTCTCCCCGAAGCACGAAGGCCCAGAGAATTGACGCCAACGGCGGAGATTAAAACTTCTGGGTATGCTCCATATGCTTAAAACAAAACGAAGTGCTCCCTGTTTCTCTTCAGAAACGCAGTCAATAAACCTAAACTGATTTATATTTGCGAATGATACAAGATTGACGACGAATGACGACCGAACCTATTGAACCTCCGAATATTCCGAATGATCGCCCCAAAAAGTTCAGAACCTTCCGAATCAGCTCGAATCCAAATTTCCAGTGATTCGCCCCATCACCAGTCGTCATTGTCCCCTTAAAGAGATGCTGAAACAAACATTTCAGTGTCCATCATAAGTGACGCACAATCTTTCTACGAGCCAGCAACTGCCGGTGTGCGCGAGCACTCGCAACGAAATTGACGTCGTAGTCCCCCATTCACGATTAAAATGACTGAAATGTGTGGGCTCCAGGGAAAAGGAGAATAAAGACACGCTTTTCATCTCCACGGTGAGGCCTGGTGTAAAACGCAAGCGATCAATTCGTCTAACAAGCACGTGACTTCCACTTGTGCAGATGAAAAGTCTGTCTTTATTGAACTTGTAAAGCGCCTAAAAAACAAGGACACGGGGGAAAAGAAGACAGGACCAAGCGCTATGGTCCTGTCTCTTTATTCTCTTGTCCTCGTTTTTTAGGCGCTTTGCAAGTTAAACATGTACCAGCTAGCCCACCTATCCATTTTCCTGACTTTGTTCTCCTTTGGCCCGAAGCCCATACATTTCACCGTCATCTCTAGCGCGAATGGGGGACTATGACGTCAATTTTGTTGCGCATGCTCGCGCACACCTGCGGCTGCTGGCTCGTGGAAAGAACGTGCACCACTTATTATGGACACTAAATTGTTTGGCTTCATAAGCGCTGGATGCTTGGAACGCGTGCGTGAGCTGGTATCTCGAGGCGAGATCGTTCCGATAAAACAGAGGACGACACATGATACCCCGTCGGCGCCTTTGCCCGTGCGTCGTATCGGGTAACGTTATCTGAGCGCCGAAAACGAACTGCCGAAAGTCCACCTTTCACCAGAGGCGCGCAATTGGATATCGCGGTCGGGAGCTGCGACGCGATTGCGCTTGAGTCAGCCCCGTTCGTAATTGATCACAAGAAACAAAAATGTTTTTAATAGAACATTCTTAGGGGAGAAGCTAGTTATTCGCAGTGGTTTGAACAAGACCGTTTAGCAGACTGTTCTCAAGGCACCACCAACATTGCTCGCTTTCATTGAATTGCGTGTGAATGTGGCTCGCCCTCTCTATCCCCGTTTTCGCAAGACCTGGTTGTTGAAAATGTAAACCGATAGCGTAATCTCCTTTTTGTTTCGCAAGCCCTGCTGCGCCCAGATGGACGCGCCCGCGCTGCTAACAATGACCATGCCGAGCCCACGTGTGTTCGTAGGTATCTCACAGGGATGTTCAAAGGAGCGCAGGATGAAGCTGAACGGCGGCGTTGGCTGATCATGCCTTATAAAAAGACATGACCACGTTTAAAGCATAATAAAACGAGCTTACCCGACACAGTAATTTGATAGGGCTACCAGGACTGACGTGACCCGACACCTTGATCTCACGGTAGCGATGAAAAGAAAGGACGTAAACGGAGAAACCCGGATATGCAGAACTGGTAACTGCGGTAGTGTTGATTACAGTGTACACTCAATTCACGTAAATATTAATTTCAGCCCCAGATTAGGCACACAATTTACAAATAATAATTTTTTATTTGTAGAAATTCGGCACTGTAACGAAGATGCCCAATTTCACGAGCAACGTTGGGTATCGCTAGTTAATTCGCAGTGTTGCTATTCACGTACGCAAACAGGTTCTCGACGCCTTTCTTTTATCGCAGAGGTGCCAATTCAATGCGGTTTTTACTGGACCTTTTAGGAAAATGACGTTTTGGCGCTGCCCGCTGTGTGTGTTCTTCGCGGTGAACCTGATAAGAGTGATAAATCACGTAGCAGAAACGCATAGTGCGGAGTCAAACTTTACGATACTTTGCGGCATCGATGGCTGCTGTCACACGTTCAAGGTGTTCAACTCGTATCGCCGCCACGTTTACCGGAGTCACTCCGAGCATCTGCAGACGTCCGGGGGTTGCGGGTCTGGTCTCGCTGCCGTCGGAGGAGCGGAACCCCAGAACGAGGTCGACCCCCACAACGAGGTCAACGCAGAGGACCTATCATTTGACCTCCCTCAAGAGCAAGCAGCGGCTGCTCCCCTTTCACCAACTGAGAGGCCCATCGAAACATTTGACGAGTTTGTTAGAGGTGTGCAAACGAACATCTGCTTGTTTTTTTTTTAAACTTGCTGAAAAGCACAAGATGCCACATATGACCTGCGAGAACGTCTTCGGCGACTTCCAGTCTCTGCTCGAGGTGATCCTGAACAAGCATGCCGAGCAGATCCGGCAAGCCATGACCGTTTCCGACACCCTGACTGACAGCCATGGTGTGTTCGGTACCGACTTCCCTAGTTGCCTCTTCGACAAGGTCAAGAGCAGCTATCAGAGGGAACAATTCGCGAAGAGGAACTTCTTGTACGTGGAGCCTGAAGAACACCTGCTCCTAAGCCCAGAGACTTCATCGTTCCAGTACATTCCAATTGGAAAGGTAATTGAAAACCTGTTCGAAGTTCCCGCATTGGCAGAACACCTCTTGCAGCCAGCAGAGCAGTTGAGGACCGATCCACATGAATTGCGGTCCTTTCGTGAAGGCACAGCACTGAAGCAAGTGCCAACGAATAACAATGAACCTGTGCACAACCTTCATGTTGCGTTGTACACTGATGAACTGGGGATTACGAACACCTTGGGGCCAAATCAAAAGCGACACAAGTTGTTGGTGGTCTATTTTTCCCTACTCGACCTCCATCCAAGATACCGCGCAGACTTGAGCAACATACATTTGACACTGATGGCCAAGTACCAGGATGTCGAGAAGGAGGGACTCCAGAAAGTGTTAGACCCCCTTCTCCGTGACCTGGCTGAACTGAGGGACCACGGTTTTCAAGTTCAAAGCAGCAAAAGAAGTACAAGGGTCAAGGCCACAGTTGTTGCCATTTGTGGCGATAATTTGTCCCTCAACAAGCTTGGAGGATTCTCCTGTTGTTTCAGCAGTGGCAGAGTGTGCAGACTCTGCATGGCCCACAAAGCCACGCTTGCAGACCTCACGAGGGAAGACCTGTGCACATTAAGAAATGCTGCCACACACAGCAAACACCTGTCAGCAATTTCTGTGAATCCAGCATTGAAGAAGCTGTACGGTGTCAATGGACCCTCGCCAATGCTGGCATTGGAGAACTTCGACATCACCAAGCAACTCATGCCGGATGTTATGCGCGACATGTTTGAGGGAGGACTTGCCGTTGTCTTGCACTACACTCTTCAGGGACTCACTTCAGATGGCATCCTGACACTGTCAGACTTTGGCAAAATGGCAACATTTAAGGTCGGCTTCAACGATAAAAAAATAGGCCCGAAAAACTGCAGGCTAACTTCTCCAGGGACCACCGTGCCTTAACAGGCACCGCTTCCCAAAAGTGGTGTCTGTTCAGGCTGCTGCCATTGATGGTTGCATCCTGCATCCCGGAGGGAAACTAACACTGGGAGGTTTACTTGATGTACCGAGAAATTGTGGACATGGTGCTTGCTCCCATCATACCCACTGACATCCTGCCGCATCTTGAAGATAGGATTCAGGCTTTTCTGCGAACCTTCAGCGAGCTGTACACATCAGCTAGTGTCTCTTCCAAGTTGCACTACCTTATACATTACCCTCGGATCATAGAAAGGTATGGCCCTCTACAGCAATACTGGTGCATGCGGTTTGAGGCCAAACACCAGTATTTCAAGAGCATGGCATCGAAGAACAAGAACTTTGTGAACATCGGCAAGTCCCTATCTACACGGCATCAGCTTCTGCAGAGCTACGAGATCCACATGTATGTTCTTGACAAGAATGTCTGCGCCACCGGCCTCAAAGCCATAGCTCCCGCTGAGCTAAATCCCTGCGCGCGGAGCCTTGCGTCTGATGGCCAGGTATGGGAGGCAAGGTCTGTCAAGACAAGCACAGGAGGCTATCGGAAGAATGATGTTCTTGTAATGAACAGAACAACGTCCCTCAGCTTTGCTGAGGTTAGTGCACTCTACCTCAAGAATGGTAAACTGTTTCTCCTCCTCAACGAGCTGGAAGTAGAAATGTACCGCAGGCACAGGTGCTGTTACAAAGTGCGGAGGACCGAGAACTTCTATCTCTCCCAAACTGGCAAGGAAGCCTGTTTCCAACGTTTAGATTTGTACACGGGAGGAGAGATCGTGCCAAAGTGGGACATCTTCTATTACCCTTAAAGGAACAATGAACAAGATTTTAGAAATTTTCAATGAAGAGTGCTTTCCGAATGTTTGGGGTCCCAGCATGCCATTAAATTTTTTAGAGAACGCTGCGACATTTATTGCTCTACCTGCGAACAAATTTACGAAACTGAAACTAAGTTTCTGCGCTTTTGCTAGGCGATCCTCCGGAACCAGAAGTGACGGCACATGGGAAGTCAGTCTACATCAGTTTTATTAGTACCACGGTCCTTGCTAGTATTTATTACACACTGTTTTGGTTGCCACGGTGAGTTTTACACTGATCAAGGCGCGAAGCACATACATATTGTGCTCCGTTTCAGAAGTTGTGTGCGGCGCAGGAGAAGGCTGAGGGGCGTAAACAGGCAACCTTGTTTGGATCAACAGGTCCAACAAAAAACAAAAAATATGCACTTCTGTACTTAACCAATCGGTTACATGTGAAAACAGATTAGATTAATTTATTCTGTATGCACTTCCGCTGGATTCTGTGGTCTCGCTAGGCTTGAACGACTAAAGCCAGAGCGAGCTGCTTTCCAAAATGGAGCAGAGTCTGTAATGGTGGCCACCAACACAGTGGCATCCTCGCGAGTGAGAATTAGTACAGGACAATGTTTCAATTCTACCAGAGGTGCATACCACAAACTATTTTGAACACCCAGTACATGAATACAAAAATGCTCCAAAAGCTGATGATAAAAAGCTTTACTCAGACATAACATACAAAGGTAACAAAAACAGACGTTTCGCTACCTATGCAGGTGGCATCCTTAGTATACACTAACATAAATGAAGTGAGGTCAATCAGCTTCTACTTATCACACACATCCCTGAAAACATCTGTGGGGGGGAGACGGTATTGCACACCGATGAGTTAGAACGAATGAACCAGGATTCGAGATATTTTCTTTGACCCCATCATTGTTCTCGGGCCAGCATCGTTGCACTGTCCAAGTCAAATGTGTGTCCCGTCATCCAACAGTGTTTGACACGTTCTGTCTTTGATCGCATGGCATGTGTGGCATTGGCAACATCCCTTTTGTGTTCTTTTATTCTCGTGGCCCTCTTTCTGTCTGTTTCGCCAATGTAAGTAGCGTCACAATCTGTCCGCAGGGGTACGGCCCTTTGGCTTCGTGGACAGATTCGCCAAAAGGTAATGCGGTTTAAAAACTGTTCATGTACCCAAAGGACACAAAGCTACTTCTAATGGCGTCTGACATGCCCTGGACATGTGGAATTGAAGAAACCTGTCTTGGCCTCGCCTGTGACTCACTCCTTCTACCCATCTGAATCCACCTCCTCATATCTTTAATGAATGCCCTGCAAGAATGGCGTTTTTCTGAAGTATCAGCTACATTCTCTAGTTCTTGGAAACCCTAGCTGTTCGTTAGAGTACATTGCATCGCAATGTGATAATAATGTTCTTACAGCAGACCGTTTGTGTTCGGTCGGGTAGTGTGAATCAAAGGACAAAAAGGTCCCTGTGTCACACGGCTTACGGTACACTGCCGTTCCACACTCCCAGTACTGCCCCGGCGCACAAGTACGTCCAAAAAAAGGCAAAACATTATCTTTCCCTGTCTCATACATCAACCGAATGCAGTGTTGTTTGTGAGTTACCTGCCGACAAAGGGGTTTGTGTTTACGCTTTGGAGAGCGCAGCAGTCAGAAAGAAAATGGCAAATGGTTAATTTATACTTGGTTTACACGAGTTGAACCGATTAACCAGTTAAAAAAATTGACCATGACTGTAGGGATGCCCCGAATTGCCCCCTCGTTTAGACATGACAGCTCGTCAAGTCTACCCGACTTGAAATATCCATGAAGGGCAGCCCAACGGCTCATCCCTTTCTTTTGTCCGCCCTGTCCAAGGGGATTTACGGGAACGGGCTGACATGCCCGCGTGGGAAACGAGCAGAGTAGCCGTTCCCAGAGCTGGGTTGGAGGCATCTTCACGGATCAGGGGGCAGAAAGGGTGGTAGGGAGATCTCAGCAGCTCCTATTGTATGCCAGGAGAGGGTGCTGGCACTGGGGCCAATAGGAGTGTTTAATGTCCCTGATTGGACAGGCCCAGTGTCAGCAAGCTGGTTTTGAGGTCCTGCCAAACCGGGACGAGTTGAATTTAAACGGGTCCGCGGATCGCTACATTTGTCTCCCGCGGTTTGAGGGCCACATAAGTTTGTCGTGCGTGACAAAGGAGCTTGCCCGCACCGTGCACGGTTGGGCACTTGGCGCCGAGGCGCATCATCGTTGACGGAGGCTGTCACGAGCGACAGTACGCCAAAGTGCAATGTTTTCTTGCTTTGTTTTGTAAAAAGTTGTCCGTCATCTGTAAATATATACATATTTACTCAACCGCCGAGCCTGAGCAACACTGAGGTCACCGAAAACAAGCCGCCCTCCAGCCATCAGAGCACCCCATAATCGACCGGTTTTGATCGAGACTCCAAGGGAGACGGCCACCGACCGAGGAAAACAACCCTCTTCAGGGGACAATGAAACCTTACAGGGTCAGTCGACAGGAATCGTGGACGTCGTCGGCCGCTTGGACAACATTGTGTGCCAGAGGGACGATGACGACAGTGCCTGTGCGGACCGGGGGGGGGGGGGGGGGGGGGCTTCGGCAACATGTGCTCAAGACGACTAGGAACACAGCTTTCAGCTGATCCAGCAGTACTGGCTCGGCGAGACTCATCAACGGGGTACCGGGGTACTCTCAAGAAGCCAGCCTCAAGAAGACTTCGTCAACACCCGAAGACTGCATCGACAGAAACCGGGACTCAGGGGAACGGACTCCCCGTGCGGTGATTGACACCGGGGACCCGCGAGTTGTTGACGTCAACAACCTTTATAGACTTCACAGCACCGCCAGGTCAGTGATCTCCTTTCGTTCCATCCCCGGCTGATACCCATGCTCTTAGGCGCATGGCGAAACATAACTTGCGGTGTGGGGCAGGCCCTTGTGAAACAGGCGACAAGGGGTCGGGTGGGGAAGCGGTTCCGCTGAGCGTTCAGTTAGTCCTTGTGAGGAAAAAAACGAAGGAGCTAGAGCTGCAGGTACGACTCACAGAACTCCGGGCGGAGGAGCGCAGAGCAAGAGTTTGTCTCCTGGGGGAGCGCGGTGAAGAGACGCAGCTTTGCCCGAGGCCCGATGTGTGAGGGAGAAAGAACCGGACGCGCGAGGTGACCCGGAGGCAGGCTTGGGGTATGAGGCCGATCGTGTCGTTCAGAAACCGGAGACTGCCGTGGGGTCCGAGGCCGGTCGTGCTGTACAGAATGATGAGACTGCCGTGGGGTCCCCAACGCCGATCGCGCTCTTCAGGAACCGGACACTGTCGTAGGTTCGAGGCCGATCGTGACGTACTGGGACCGGAGACTGCCATGGGGTTCGAGGCCGATCGTGTAGTTCAAGGACTGGAGACTATCGTGGAGTCCAAGGCCGATTGGGCCGCGTGAGAATGAGGGTGTTCCTGCGTCAGGGCAGCTGGAAGGGAGGAGCTCCCGGAGAACCAGGAGTCAGGCCCAGCACTGGGGAGACTGGTGGGTTCCGAGGTCACGAGGGGGGCTACTGCAGTTGTTCAAATTGGACTTCAGTGTCGCCATGACGGGCCTTGTGCAGAGGGTGTGACATGGTGGGTGCCACCAAGTGGGCGGCGCGGGGAGGTGTCGGTGCAGGCGCACGAGTCGTTGTGGGGCAACCACTTAGGCGCTGGGAAAGAGATGGCGCGCCAGGGGCACAAAGTTGGCTCTTCCTTCGACCAAGTTGCCGCAAAGCGAGCGCCAAACACAGTTACGTGGAAAAATCAAGCCGGGCACGCCTTTGAGGGCCTAGAGGATGCTCTGGCGAGCGTCACGGTCCTCGCGACACCCGACACAGCTGCTCGGGTGTGGTGTGCTTGCAGGGTGGCAGAAGAGCGCTTAATCGCTCTACGGCAAGGGTCTCAAACACGCGGCCCGCGGGCCGCATGTTTGAGACCCTTGCCGTAGAGACTCGCTTGGACGCGGCCCGCAGGCAACCGGCTACGAGTCCCGGTCCCAATGTCTCGAGCGCTAGAATTGGCATTCACCATCGTGACCTCCTCTCGCCGATTCATTTTCGCTCGAAAAGTATTTACATAGTTTATACCTATTTGTGTGCATTTACCCTTTGTTTCGCTTTATATTTTGCTT